TGTCAGCAGTGAATGTGAGTTCACCTCAGGATTGACAGGGCAGGTACTCAAAGGAGAAAATTCCCTGTTCATAAACATTTGAAGTGCCCTGTTAGTTTATTCCCAGGTGCACAGTAAAATACTGCTTTATACAGTTGTAGTTACAGGAAATTCCCATTTTGGTGTTAAATATCCTGCTGCTACGTCAGGAAGATTGGATTTGGTGCTTTTTATTAAGGGAAAAACCCAGTAACTATTGTCCAGCCTTGGAATATTGAATATCTGTGTTTGGTCTGTGCTGTTAGGCAGCCCAACCTGCAGGGCAGTGCCCTGTGGGACTGGGTTCAGCCAGGGAGCCCCCTGTGTGACCTGGTTTTTGTGGGTGGTTGTTTTGCAGATCATTTTCATGGTTGGCAGGGGCTACGCTTCCCCAGACCTCAGCAAGCTGTACAAGAACTGCCCCAAGGCCATGAAGAGGCTGGTAGCAGATTGCCTGAAGAAAGTCAGGGAAGAGAGGCCTCTGTTCCCACAGGTGAGTGAGGGTCCTGCCCCTGAGGGGTGAGGGTTTGTGAGGAGCCCTTGGCACACAGGACCTGCTCAGATGGAAATTGTGGTTAACAGGAACTGCAGCCTTGCCCTGGTGCTGTGTTCATTGCTAATGCAGCTCTGGGCTGTGTTGTGGTTGGACTGACAGTTCTGGGACTGGGAGTCCATGGAGGCTGTGCTGGGCATTCATCACCTCACCTGCCCAGAGACAAACCAAACCCCCTCAGTCCAGAAGAGTGAAATCTATCTCTGGATATTCCTTTCATTTTAGAGTTGAGGGAAATGAGAGGCCACTGCTCCTTTCCTTCCCCACAACTCTGAACAAGGAAACAAAATCCACTGGGGGGTGTAAACTCCTGGAGCAATTCTTGGTATTTCTACAAGGGATGCTTTACCTTTTCCTGTCACTATGGGGATGGACTATAGACTTCCTTATACTCATTAATTATGAGTAATTAATTAATTAAACATCAGCAGTTCTGGAAAAATACCTTCCTGCTGTTGCAGTCAAGCATTGTTTAGAAAGTTCTTTTTGAACATCAGGCAGAAGATGCAGTTCCTTCCCAGTTACTCTGCTGGAGGGTGGTTTAGATGCTCATTAATTGCTCCTGATTATCTGTGAATTGATGAAAATTGATGAAATTGATCCTCCCAACCTCTGGAACCCCCTGAGGCCCTCCCAGCACTGACAGAGCAGAGTGGGCAGAGCTGGGCTCCTCCACTCTGTGTTCAGTGCCCCATGGAGCATTAATGTGAAACTTGAACTGGGTAAGAACTGAGTGAGTGAATGGATGAATGAATGAATGAGTGAAGGTTTGAATGGAAGCAGAGGGGGCTGCAGGCCCCACAGGCCTCTCAGAGCTGGTGTGGGTTTAAATGGAGGGTTTGAATGGAAGCAGAGGGAGCTGCAGGTCCCACAGGCCTCTCAGAGCTCTCTTTCCCCAGATCCTGTCCTCCATCGAGCTGCTGCAGCACTCTCTGCCCAAGATCAACCGCAGCGCCTCGGAGCCGTCCCTGCACCGCGCCGCCCACACCGAGGACATCAACGCGTGCACGCTGACCTCCAGCAGGCTGCCCGTGTTCTGAGAGCTCTGCCCTGCCCCCAGCAGGCTGTTCCGAGCGCTCTGCCCCTGTTCCGAGCTCTCCTGCCCTGCTCCAGGCTGGGGCTGCAGGGGGAACTCGAGCTGTCCAGGCTCCTCCGGCAGGACTCCGTGTCCCACGCCACCAAGAAGCTGCTCTGGATTCGTGCAGTTCTCAGCCTGCAGGGACACAGCTCCTCATTGCCTTTGCTACCATCTCTTGTTCTGGGAGAGGTAACAGACTACAAATCAAGAGATCTATTACTATTTTTTTAATAGATGCACTTGAGCCTTATTTTGCCCTTCCCAGAAGCGGTGGCTGTTTGTCTGGCAGTGGTTCTGGCTGGCTTTGCTCTGGGCCCAGTGAGGGGCTCTGGGGACAGGGGATGTTCTGGTGCTCTGACTGCCCCTGCCAAGTGTCACCTCACCCTGGGCATTGTGCCTGGAGCGGGAAGAGGAAATAACTCTGGAAATCAGCTCCTGCCTAAGAGCTTCACCAAGCCAATGAAATAAGTTCAAATGCTAATTCAACACAAAATAGTTTTGCAATAGTTTTGCACATAGAAGAAAAACTCTTGCAAAAGGATGGAATCTGTCGTGAATTGTCCTGCTCAGAGAGAAGGAGATGAGCCAGTCCTGCTTTGGTCATCTTGAGAAGCCTCCCAGCTGCCTTTGGTACTATGGACCTGCTGTTGGTGCAGCCCAGGCAGGGTGGGTGAGGAGGGCTGGGCTGGGAGAGCCTGGGGGTGTCCCCTCTCCTGCTGGGGGTGTCCCCTCTCCTGCAGAGGCTGAGGTGTCCCCTCTCCTGCAGAGGGTGTCCCCCTTCCTGCAGAGATTGAGGATTGAGGATGTTCCCCCTCCTGCAGAGGCTGCATCCAGCAGGAGCTGTTGTCCAAGAGATGCACTAGCAAGAGGAAACTGAGCATATACAGTTTTTCTTGTTGATTTGGGTTTTAATTTTTTTTTTGTTTTTATTGCTCCTGAGAAAATGCATTTATTGTAAGCCAAGGTTCCTCTTGATTATCTTATTTTAATAAAATAAATTAAATTTTAGGTTTAAGATTCAATGTCATCATTTTAATGGAGTCAGCCACAGTTCTTACTGGGACATCTGCATTTGGAAAACTCAAGAAATGACATTTCTGAATAGGTTTTTAAAAAGTAACTGATAAATAACAGCAGTGCAAGTAAAAACACACTTGATAAAACAACCTGTACGTTTCCAGTCATGACAAGACAGTTTGTGTGCTGTAGTGATCTTTGAGCAGCAGCTGCTTTGGACACCCTGATGAGCTCCCAGGCTCCTGCCCTGCCCCGCTCTGGCTCCATTTTCTCTTCTTTTCACTGAGGTGCAAGGGAGGGTTTTGTGTTGGCTGAACTCCAGGAGGACAGAACAGGTCGGTGAAGCTAAACATGGATTTTTTCAAAGAGCAGGTGGTGAAATGTGAAATGTGGCTATTAGGGCACAATGGGAACTCATTTGGGGTTTTGCCTCACTGGGGGTCAGGGGTGGCTGTGCCCTCTGCACCCCAAAGCTCTGGGCAGAGCTGCTGCCTTTGCTGGGAGCTGGGACAGGCCCTGGAATGGCCACACAGCCCCTGCAGCCTCTGCTCTGCAGCAGCAGCACCCACAGAGCTCCTGGGAGACGGAGAACCAGACCCAGACACCAGCTCCAGTTTGGCCTCAGAACATTCTGGAACAGGGATGTGAAGGGCAGGATGTGAATCCTGGGTGATAACTGAGAATGCTGTGAGCTTTGCTTCCTCAACAGGAAATTGGGACTTGAACTCTCCATTTTGTTCTGCATGGTTTTTATCAATATTATTGTATTTGGACTGCAACTCTAAACATTATTTATCTCTAGTTGTCACTTCATTATAAGCTGAAAACATGGAAGGAAAAATCCCAGAAGAGGTAAGCTGCTTTTACTTTAACTCTGAATTCCCAAAAGGAACCATTAAGCTGTGGTTTTTAAACCAGATCATGTGTCTCTTGAAAAAATGAAGTATTTTGGATAAGTAGGTTTATTTTAACCAGCACTTGATGTCCAGTTAAAGGAAAGGTGCTGAGTGAAGAACTTAGAAACCCAGACATGGTAAATCCCTGGTACTTTTGTAAAACAAGTCATGTTTTTAATTTCAGACTATCCCTCATGGCTTCTTGGGGCAGAGTAAATCAGGAATGTTCTGTTTAGGGTGAAGAACATCCTCTCCATTGATTTTTTTTTAAGTGTATTCCTGACAATATTTCTTTCTGGCAAAAAAAATTTAGGTGGAGGGGCACATGGGAATGAGCTTCAGTGGGAGGGTGAGGGCTGGGAAGTATTCTGGGATGGAAAGGGTGTTTGGGTGTCCCTGACCCATTGATCTGGGTGTGTGACATCCTCTCAGGGATAATTCACCTGCTTTGTAATTAGTGCTGACCAACTGCACTGACTGGACCTCAGCCTTTGCTGGGCCGGCTTTACCAAGAGAGGGAATTGAAGTTACAGCCATGCAAGGCCAGCCCTGACTGCAGTGAGCCCTGCCACAGTTACTGCAGGGGGAAATGATGGGGAGTTCAATTTCCAGTGAGAGCAGGGGGCACAGCTGGCACAGGGGAGGAGCTCCTGAGCCAGAAGTGCCAACAGCAGCTGAGAGAGAGGATCATCCTGGATCACTGCTCTGCTGCCAGCTGGGGTGTTGGAATGCCAGGCTGAGGCTCCTGCTGCTCCCTCCCAGAGCCTGCTGCCACCCCCAGGGCTGGCCCTGTGTGCTCAGGGCTCTCCGAACACATTTTGCTCCATCATTTCCCACCCCTGATTACAAACCTTCCTGTCCTTGGCCTTTCTCTCTTACACATTTTAAAGTATTATCTTTATGCTTTTATATTGCTTTAGATAACAACCAAAGGAGTTCACACCTTCCATGGCAACTCAAGTGTTCTAAAACAAACCCCACATCTCTGTTGGTGTTTACAAACACTGCTCAGTGATGTGCAAGAGGCTGAGTCAGTGACAGCTCCTGCTCAGCTGTGTCCATGCTGTTGTTGCTGCAGTGCTCACTGAATTCTTGGTTTAAATTCCAAGTTGGAACAGTTGCCTTGGCAGAATGAACTCCTGGTACCAGATTTCACAACCCAACAGAAATCACATTTCTAACAAAGCAGAATTCAGTACCAGTTCTGTGAGACACCTCACTCCTCTGCTGCAGCTCCAGTGAGTGCAGGAACCAGAGCAGCTGCATTTGCTGTGCAGCAGGAGCCACTGCTGCCTCTGAGCTCTGGGGTTAGTGTGAAACAGGCTCATCACACTGAGATTGCTGTAAAACAGGCTCATCACACTGGGATTGCTGTAAAACAGGCTCATTACACTGGGATTGCTGTGAAACAGGCTCATTACACTGTAATTAGTGTAAAAGAGGCTCATTACACTGTAATTAGTGTAAAACAGGACTGGGGGCTCCCCTGGCAGCACTGGGGAGCCAGGCCTGCCCAGAGAACCCACCAGCCCCCACTCTGAGCTCCAGGTACTACCTGAGGTATCATTAAGGAGAAAACCCTACACTGACCATTATTCCCAGTGGGTTACTTCTACATTTAGCTGATTTAGTGGAGAAAAAAACCCAAAAGCACCCAAACTCTAATTAGCAACAGTTTTTACCAGCTGAAGCTTTCACTGGACCTGTATTTACACTACCACTCAGCTCACAAGACAGCATATGTTAGGCCAGAGAGGGACAAAACCCTCCTGGGATTAAGGGATTTTTTTCCATGCAGCCAATTTTTTTTTTTTGTTTTTCATTTAAATATATTTTAGTCTTTTGTTGTTGTTGCCATATAAAAACTATCTGAAAACTTTACCAGGACTGCACAAGTGACCAGCAGGGCACGTTTTGCTCTACCTGTGCTGCAGGGATAAAAGCCTGGCTGGCAGGCAGCTCGGGGGGCTCAGAGGGGCTCTGGGGGCTCGCTGGGCTCCTCCTCAGCCCCAGAGAGGTGCATGAAGAGCTCCCCCAGCTCCGTCACCTCGGCGTCGGCGCCGGGCGCGCTCCGGCTCTCCCTGTCCTCGATGAAATCCCACAGGCGCACGGAGTTGAAGAACTGCAGCAGAGACAGAGAGCAGCCTGAGCACCCCTTGGCACTGATAGATTTTATAAAAAATCCTTCTGCTAGGATCTTTCCTCCTGAGAAGCTGAGAAACTTCAGCTTCTCCATGTTTTGCTTAGTTTACCCAACTTGTGAATTGTTTTTACGACAGCCACCTGTGTCAAGGCTGTGAGCAGCCATAAGATTTTATTCTCATCCCTTTTCTTTCCTTGATGAAATCCTTTCTTCTATTCTTTTAGTACAGCTTTAGTATATAATTTTCTTTTAATATATATCATAAAATAATAAATCAGCCTTCTGAAACATGGAGTCAAGATTCTCATCTCTTCCCCTGTCCTGTGAACACCCCCACAGCCTGGCCTGGGCTGGCACCTCCCCAATCAAACCAGCCCCAGAGCTGGCTGTGAGCTGTGTGTGCCAGGGGAGGGGACACGAGGTTTTGCCCCTTTCAGCTGCCCTGAGTGCCAGCACAGCAGAGAGGTGTGAGTACTGTGGGTGAAAGCTTAAAGGGCAGAATCCCTGTGAGGAAAGGTTTGGACTGGTCACAAAAACAAACATGTTCAGAAGCACTTCTTTTGCTCTTTACAGACTCAGCCAAAGTTTAGTAGGACTATTATCTGTCTGCAGCACACTAAGAAGAAAATGAACCAAAGCTTCCCCAACTTCAGCTGTGCTTAAGACAGGAACTCTGTCCAAGCCCCAGAGTACTGGACAGCATGGCATGAAGCCCCTCAGAGAGCCTAAAGGGGTGAGCTCCCTTCTGCCTGAGGCAAGAATCATGCACAACTAATAAACTGCTCCAGAGTTCATACAGTACAATGCCTCCCACATCAGTCAGTCTGTGAGTCAGTTTATACTGGTCAGAAATACGCATTTGGCTCATAACTAGAGAAATTTGTAAAATCCAGGTACAATGAGAGACACTCTGTCTCCAAGGACAAACCCTTGCCCAAGGAACACTGAGGGGCTTTTTGCACTTGTCCTGCATGGCAGGAAGCAGTGGCAGCAGCACAGCTGGGGCTGCAGGGGGTGTGGGGCTGCAGGGGGGCTCTAGGGGGGCAGCAGGGCTCTCTTACCCTGACAGTGCCCTCGGAGCTCAGCTGCTTCCTGGGTTTCTCGGGCTCGGCGCGGGTGCCGTCGGGGTAGGCGTGCAGGTACAGACACTTCCCCCCAAAGGGACACGTGCCTTTGCCTTGCTCAAAGTACTTGCAGGGCTTTTTCCTGAGGGAAGCACAACACACAGGTTACTGCCTTCAGCTGCAAGGGAAGGAGGTGCAGCTTATGCCCACAGCCCCAGTGGTGCTCTGCTAGCACAGCCACTGAGCTGAGAGCAGGGACACTTTTCCATTTTCCTTCCCTCGGGCACCAGCAGTGATGGCTGAGGGATCCACACAGAGCCAAGTGTGGATGAGCTGCTTCCACACTTGTGGAGTGGAGTGAGCTGAAGCAGCTTCAACATTTCTGAGCATTTTCAACATCTCTAAGTGTCTGACCTACAATTGCACAGGCAGAGAGTGAAGCAAGCTGTGAGCAGAGATGAGCTCTCTGCAGAGGGGTCTGTAATTACATTAAGTTTAAAAATAAAGGCTCAGCAATTGATTGAGCCTTAGAGCAGCTAAAGAACAACGTGAGGGGTGTGGGTGGCTGCTGAACTTACCCCACTCCCTGCTTGAATGCTTCAATCAGCTCATTCTTCTTCTCCTGCTCTTCCACCCAGTACACGCTGGGGATGACAAACTCGGAGATGACACGGCACTCGGGGCAGGACCTGCAGGACAGGACACAGAGATGCTCTGGTACCCCCACACTGGAACCCTCCTCAGACTGCCCCAGCAGTGAGGATCTCCCCAGAGAAGGGGATCTGTCACCTCAGGCAGCAGACACCTCCTCCCACGTTAGCACTGAGCTTTGTGGCAGTTCCAGTTGCAATTGCCCAGTTCAGGACACCCAGGGCTGGGGTTTGTTTCTGGACTTCAGCAAAAGTCTGCACACTCCTCTCATGTGCAGAGACAAACTCTGTTCTAGGAGTGCAGCAGGAGGCCAAAAACACAAATTAAGATGTCTCAGCCTTTTGAAATGCAAGGAGCTGATGGTCCCTTCAATGACATTTGGAGTAAAAGTTGTGCAGCAAAGTCTCTTTTGGTAGAAGACTGAAAATGTTCCCCACCTTTCCTTCAGCATGTTTGTAACTTGAGATGCTCAAAGAAGGAAACTTCCCTAAATGGATGTTTTAGATTGTCTGGGAGGGGGAGCATGTTTGGAACCCATTTTTTGTGGAGCCAGAAGATAAAGGCATTTATGAGACAGGCACAAGTGTGGTCAGTGGGACACTGACCTGGAGCTGTGCCTGAGGGAGAAAGCCCAGAATGAAGCACATCCATGGGAAAAGATGGGAGCTGTGAGTGCAGCCCCTCACTGAGGTGGCACTGCAGGCTAAACAACAATGATAATGAAAGCTCCTGACTCAGTCTGACACAGCTGATGGTGACTGGTCACTAATTAAAAACAATTCACATGGAACCAATCAAACATTGACCTGTTGGTAAATGATTTCCAGACCACATTCCCAAACAATCAGATAATTTTTGTTTTCATTCTTTTCTGAGGCCTCTCAGCTTCCCAGGAGAAGACATCTTGGCAAAGGGATTTTTCAGCCAACACCAAGGTGACAGCCCTGGGCCTGGCAGAGCTGGGGCAGGCTCTGCTGAGCTCTGACACCTGCAGCTTCACCCCCTGAGAGCAGCTCCAGCCCCTGTGTGAGAGCAGCCCCAGCCTCTGTGTGTGAGAGCAGCCCCAGCCCCTGTGTGTGAGAGCAGCCCCAGCCCCTGTGTGAGAGCAGCCCCAGCCCCTGTGTGTGAGAGCAGTCCCAGCCCCCTGAGAGCAGTCCCAGCCCCTGTGTGTGAGAGCAGTCCCAGCCCCTGTGTGTGAGAGCAGCCCCAGCCCCTGTGTGAGAGAGCAGCCCCAGCCCCTGTGTGTGAGAGCAGCTCCAGCCCCTGTGTGAGAACAGCTCCAGCCCCTGTGTGAGAGCAGCTCCAGCCCCTGTGTGTGAGAGCAGCCCACCCCCCAGGCAGGTGCAGCACTCACTTGATGATGGGGTTCTCAAACTGCTTGGCACACCTCCACTGGCGGATGCAGGACAGGCAGTAGGTGTGGGTGCAGTTGGACAGGATCCCAAACCTCCTCTCTGAGGCTGAGGCCTTCTCATAGACCACCTCCATGCAGATGCTGCACACCTTGTCCTGGCTGGCCTGGATGGCAAAGGCCCTCTCCATGTCGTGCTCAAAGGTTGCCATGCACATCTGTCAGGGGACAGGGCACTGTCAGGGACACAAGGCACAGCCAGCTCCCTCTGGGACAGCATGGAGCACTCACTGAGGGCACCCAGTGCCAGCCTGGCACAGCCAGCTCCCTCTGGAAAGCATGGAACACTCACTGAGGGCACCAATGCCAGCCTGGCACAGCCAGCTCCCTCTGGGAGAGCATGGAGCACTCACTGAGGGCACCACTCCCACCTGTCACTGGCACAGTTTCATTTAAAGAACATTAAATTCAAACATCTATTTCAGCCTTCAGCTGTCAGAAATAAAGATGCCAGGGTGCTTCACTCAACCCTTTCTGCATCTCTGTCAGAGAACTGGTACTGAATTATTTGGTGCTTCAAATATCCCCAAAGAACACCTCACTGAATAGGTGCCACACTCAAGGTGTTGCTCTGATTATAATTAAGGCCACATTCATTCACCAGATGCTCATTTTTACCCAGGTAAGGAATTAGTCTCTTATTTCAGCTTTCCTCCAGCACTTCTCAGCCCAGCAGTGACAATCCAGAGCCCTTCCCACCGCCACAGCACTGCAGGGTGAGCTGGTGGGAATGGGTTCTGGATTGTTCTGGATTCAGAGACCTCCCACAGCCCTTCTCCTGGGAGCTGCAGGGTGCTGTGGGAGAGGGCTGCAGGGCAGCCTCTGATGAGGATGAAAAGGCAAAACCCACATTGGCTGCCTGCAGCCAGTTCAGCTGCAGAGGCCTGAGCTGACCCAGCACCACAGCAGGAGCTCTGTGGGAGAAGCTCCACGTTGAGCTGGAGCTCTCACCAGTCCTAAACACATTCATACTCCTAACCCTGGCAACCCCCTCCACCCCCATCCTATTTCCACTTCTCTCCAACAGCCTCAAGAACATCCCCAGCACAATTACAAACACAAAACCTCCTTCTTAATCAGCCTAATCCAAATAGCAATCTCCATCCGCTCTGAACAGAGAGCCTCACCTCCTTCTGAGAATGAAAATTCATTATAAACTTCAGAATCCCCATCAGCCTAAAAACAGATTTCTACTCCCTTACCTTCCTCCCCATTGCACTGTTCCTACCATGATCTACCCTTGTTGAAGACTGCAATGCAAGATGTTTTCCATTCCCATCTGTATGGCAGATTACCTTTGCCAAGTGGGCAGTTTGCCCTATCTCTCTCTGAGTGACCACATTCACACCTCCCTGGGGAGGGGACATTGCTGATAACAGCTATTGAATGTCACTGCATGACTGATAAGAACTACAGCATCCCATTGGGAGATGTGAGCCCAGAGGGAGGAGCCAAGCATTGCTACCCAGATATAATCCAGAGGGAGGAGCCAAGCATTGCTGCCCAGATATAATCCAGAGGGAGGAGCCAAGCATTCCTACCCAGATATAATCCAGAGGGAGGAGCCAAGCATTCCTACCCAGATATAATCCAGAGGGAGGAGCCAAGCATTGCTACCCGGATATAATCCAGAGGGAGGAGCCAAGCATTGCTGCCCAGATACAATCCAGAGGGAGGAGCCAAGCATTGCTACCCAGATACAATCCAGAGGTTCTGAGACACCAGCACGGCTTCTCCATGGGATTCCCCAGAGGAACAGCAGCTGCCTCTTCTTCCACTGGATCTTCAGAGGAAGAATCCATCCTTCTCTACAGATCCCCCTGCTCCAACAGAACCACCCCTGACACTGTAGGAGGGCTGAGCCACATTTCCAATGGGACTGCCACCAACACCCTGACCCACAGGGTGTTAGGTTGGGTTCTGACTCTGTCAGTGCTGCTCTAGTGCACTGCATTGTTTATTTTATCCTTTATTTTTTTCCTTTCCCTATTTAAGAACTGTTAGTCCTGTTGCCATATTTTGCCTCAGAGCCCCTTCATTTAAAATTTATACAATTTGGAGGGGTGGGGAGGGTTTACATTCTCCATTTCCGGAGAGGCTCTCCTTCCTTGGCAGACTCCTGTCTTTGCAAACCAAGACAATCCTACAGTTTACAAGGTGATATATGGCCTCAGACTCCTACATTACAACACTTTTCACCCACCTGATGCTGTTCCTAACTGCTGTACTCATCCTACTCTGAGAGCAGCCCCAGCCCTGCCCTGAGCTCCCCGTTTACCATCTCATGGGCTTTCCTCTGCTCCGGGTCGAAGGGGTGCAGCACCTGGAGGCCGCAGATCTCGCAGAGCTGCCCGTGCAGGTACAGGCAGCGCTCCCCGAAGTGGCAGGCGCCGGCGGCGGCGTAGGGGCACAGCTGCTCGGCCGGGGCGCCGGGGCAGCCGCCGGGCGCCGCCTCCTCCAGCCCGCTGCAGATGGCCTCCAGGTACGAGTGCGGCTTGGGCAGCTCCTCCTCCTCGGCACCGCCGGGCTCGGGGCAGCACGGCACCGCCCCGGCCGCCGAGGGCGGCGCCTGCTCCTCGCTGGAGCCGCACAGCTCTGCCGGGAGACACGGCAGAGACTCTCCTCAATTCTGATTCAGGTGAAATGTACGTCTTTAAATCTGCGTAGCCTGACTGCAAGGCCTAGGCTCAAGGGAAACTGCTTCCATGATGGACAGAGATAAGGGGGTGGGGGGAGACAGAGGGTGATAGACAGGGAGACTACTATGAGAGCAGATCAACCTGACCTAGGAATTCTTTCTGATAAAGAACTAGCAGCAAATGTCACGTGAAATTCGTAAACATGAATATGAATGAACCCATTGTGAAATTGTATGCATGTGTATTTGAGAGGGGGATAAGAAGAGACCTGAAGTTCCCAGAAGTACACATGTCATTTTAGGGGAATGATTCCCACACGCGTCCAGCGCTGTAATAAACATATCGGCTTTACAACTTTCACAAAGTTGTGGAGTTTTTGGCTGTCTCTGCAAAACACTCGGACAAGCACAGGCACCATGCTCAGCCCCAGCAGTGCCTGACTCTTTAAGGGTTAAAGCTTCCTCCCCAGTGGGGTCTCATCTCTGAGCCCCTCTGCTCATGAATCACAGGGATCTCCCCAGGCTGCCTGCTGAACATTCAGTGTTTGTGCAGCTGTGCTCTGTCACAAACCACTGGAAATCATCAGGGCTGGACAAAACCTCCAAGATCACCAGGTGTGACCCAACAGCCCTGGACACAGAGATGCTCTGCTACCTCCCCACACTGGAACCCTCCTCAGACTGCCCCAGCAGTGAGAATCCTCCCCAGAGAAGAGGATCTGTCACCTCAGGCAGCACAGACACCTCCTCCCACGTTAGCACTGAGCTTTGTGGCAGTTCCAGTTGGAATTGCCCAGTTCAGGGCACCCAGGGCTGTCACAGACATCTTTTTATGAAAATCCTTTCTTAGGATTTTTTTCTTCCTGAGAAGCTGAGAAGCTCCAGGAACAGAATGTAAACAATGGTTATCTGCTGCTGTGGAATGCAACAGGTGCATCTGTGATTGGTCTCCTCTAGATGCTTGGATTTCTCTCTCTCTCTCTCTGTCCAAGCCAGCTGCCTTTGTTATCATTCCTTTCTTTCCCATTCTATTCTTAGCTTAGCAGCCTTCTGAGATGAAACTTTTCCTTCTATTCTTTTTAGTATAGTTATAATGTAATATATATATATAATAAGATAATAAATCAAACCTTCTGAACATGGAGTCAACATTCTTGTCTCTTCCCTCACCTGAAAACCCCTGTGAACACCATCACACCCCTCTGCTCGTGGATCACAGGGATTGCCTGCTGAGGAGCTCAGCATTTGTTCAGGGGTGCTCTGTCACACACCCATTGGAAACCACAGAATCACCAGGGCTGGACAAGAGCTCTGAGATCATCAGGTGTGACCAAGCATCCCAGGACACCTCCTCTGGGAGGGGGAACATGTTTGGAACACATTTTTTGAGGAGCTAGAAGATAAAGGCATTTATGAGACAGGTGAAAGTGTGGTTAGTGGGAGTTCCAGTTGGAATTGCTCAGTTCAGGGCACCCAGGGCTTGTGTTTGTTTCTGAACTTGAGCAACCCCCCCTAAGTAAACCATAACAAGCACAAGGAGACAAAAGAAACCCCCAAATTTACCAGTCAACCACACCCTGCAACTGCTGCTACAACCAGCCCCAGCACCCTGTAATAAAGGGAGGGGTTAGATGCAACTGCCAACCCCCTAAAACAAAGCACAACCCTAAAAATAAAACAAATTCTATCATTGCTCCCCTGTGCAGAGACAAACTCTGCTCTGGGAGTGCAGCAGGAGGCCAAGAACACAAATTAAGATGTCTCAGCCTTTTGAACTGATGGTCACTTCAATGACATTTGGAGTAAAAGTTGTGCAGAAAAGACTGTTTGGGTAGAAGACTGAAAATATTCCCCACCTTTCCTTCAGCATGTTTGTAACTTGAGATGCTCAAAGAAGGAAACTTCCCTAAATGGATGTTTTAGATTCTCTGGGAGGGGGAGCATGTTTGGAACCCATTTTTTGTGGAGCCAGAAGATAAAGGCATTTATGAGACAGGCACAAGTGTGGTCAGTGGGACACTGACCTGGAGCTGTACCTGAGGGAGAAAGCCCAGAATGAAGCACATCCATGGGAAAAGATGGGAGCTCTGAGTGCAGCCCCTCACTGAGGTGGCACTGCAGGGACAACAGCTGCTCCAGCCCCTCATGGCACAGGTGTCCTAAAGGGTCTGTGGCTGCTGGTCAGCACTGGGACACAGGGGCAGCAGGACACTGGGAGCACAGGGAACACAGGGACACTGGGAGCACAGGGACATTGGGACAGCAGGACACTGGGAGCACTGGGACACAGGGACACTGCCACATGAGAGCATCCCATTCTCAATAGGAAATGAAGCATTCCCACAAGGGGCAGAGCTCTGCCAGGCCCCAGCTGCTCCAGAGCCCTCTGTGCCCCCTGAGCACAAGACCAGGGAGGGCAGAGGGGGCAGAGCTGCCCTGCAGGGCTGTGGGATGGAGGGAACTGCAGCAAGGGACACCCAGGGCACCCTGCTGCTCCTGCAGGCAGCTCTGCCAGCCCAGCCTGGGGGGGTCTGAGGTGCCCAGGGTGAGGCGGGAGGTGAGAATGTGACTGCATGTTCTCAGAAGGCACATTTATTATTTTATGCTATTATACTGAAAGAAATGCTATACTAAAACTATACTATGGAGAAAGGAGACATCAGCTCTCACTGAAGGGGACACCTGCACACCTGCAGGGATGAGGGCTCCATCCCAATGCCTGAGCACCCCCAACATGCCAAAACTCTTCCTGATGTCCAGCCTGGAGCTCCCCAGGCCTGGGGGCTCACACAGCTCCGGGAGCAGAGCCTGACACCCCCGGACAGAACATTCCCCTCCCTCCCTCCCTCCCCCAGGGAGCCCGGTGGGAGCTGTCACCTCCAAGGCTGGGGCTGCCCTTGGGGCTCCGATAAGCACCGGGGACAGCACCTCCCTCCCTCCCTCCGTCCTTCTGTCCCTCCCTACCCACGGCCGGCACAGCCGCTCCCACTCACTCACTCCTGTCCCGCAGCACCAGCGTCCTCTTCTCCCTCCGGCTGCGGGGGGCACCGGCGCCGGGCTCGGGGGGTGCCCGGGGGCTGCCCGGGGCCGCGGGGGGCGGCTGGGCCGCGGCTCCGCCCGGGGGCAGCTTCACGTGGTCATACCTGCGGGGAAACGGCACCGGGAAACAAACCAGGACACCGGACACACGGCTGAACCAGGGGGGGATGGCATCCCGGACAGACCGGGGGGACAGCCCAGGGAAACCGGGGGGACACATTCCAGCCAACTGGGGACACCCTGCAGGGAAACTGGGGGGACACAGCCCAGGGAAAGCAGGGAAAATGGGGCCACATTCCAGCAGAACTGGGGACACAAGGCAGCAGCAGAGCAGGAGCAGCCAGAGGAGTGAAGGAGCTGCTCCATGGACACAGCCAAGTGTGCAATATTTTCAGGGGACAGAAATATTCCCCAGGTGTGCCCCAGGCAGCAGAAGCACAGCCAGGCCCTCCCTGAGCCCTCAGGAGCAGCCAGAGCAGCTCCAGGGCCTGACCCCGGCCTGGCACATGGGTCAGACCAGGCAGGGAGCTGAGGGAGCTGCAGGGATCAGTCCATGCCTGGTTCTCCTCAGAGCGTTCCCCTGGGAGTTTTACCTGCAGACCCCAGGGAGAGCTGTGGAACTGCTGAGCCCTCCCCCACAGCTCCATTCCCACAGAGCAAAACACGCCCTGACACTGAGCCAGACCACAACTGCACCGCTGCAGGTGAAAGCTGCTTCAGGCTCTGAGGGCAAAACTCACATTTAGGAAATGATTTCCTGCCCAGGAGCCCCCGCGGTGCCCGGCTCGGTGCTCACCTGCAGCGGGAGCCGTAGGCACACTGCCCCTTCTGGTAGTACTTGCAGATGGTGGAGGATTTGCTGGTGGCCAGGTCATGGGAGAACAGGCACTTGCTGCCCTCCCGACACACGCCCTGCAAGAAATACCTGCGGAGAGAGAGAGACGCGGCTCGCTCAGGGCGGGCGCTGCCGCCGCGCTCGCCTTTGCTGCGCTTTGTTTGTGCAGAAGCAGCGGGGCTGGCAGAGCACTCCCAGCCCCGGAGCCCGAGCTGTGCCCGAGCAGAGCGCCCATGGCACCGCCAGGGATGAGCACTGCCCGGCGGCCCCTCGGGACCCCAGCGCCCCTTCATGAACAAAACTCCCCGAGCAGCCCTGGAGGAGCCGTCCCTGCTGACCCCGCCTGTTCCCCGGGCACCCCCGGCCGGGACCCCGGGCAGCCTCCGGGGAGCGCAGGGCTGGGGACAAGGAGGGGACAGGGGGGGACAAGGGGGCAACCACGACCCCCAGCTCGGCACAGGCCGGTCCTGACGGGGGAGAGCGGAGCGAAGGGCTGTGAGGAGCGGGGCAGGGGCCAGGCCGGTGTTTGAGGGGTCTGAGGGCCCCAGGCCCGGGCGGAACGTGGGGGGCGTGAGAGCGGAACGAGGCGCGGGGCAGGGGCGGAGGCGGTGCCGCAGGGAGCCCGAGGGCCGTGAGTGCTGTGAGGGCCGAGGGCTCTGGGGGCTCTGCGGGCCGTGAGGGCTGTGAGGGCCGTGGGGGCCGTGAGAGCTCTGGGGGCTCTGCGGGCCGTGAGGGCTTTGGGTTCTGAGGGCTCTGCGGGTCCGGCCCGGTCGGGCCGCGCTCACCTGCACGTCACCTGCTTCGTGCTCATCGTGCCGCCGCACTGTCCGGCCCGCCCGGCTCCTCACGCCGCGCACGGAGGTTCCGCGGCACGGGGGGGGGCGTGGTCGAGGCCCCGCCCCGCCCCGCGGCCGCGTTTCCGGCCGGACGGTTTAGGCCGGCGCGCCGGGCCATGGCGGTGCTGCGCGTGCGTCACTGTCGCGCGCTCCTGTACTGCCGGCGCGCGCCGCCGCGCTGCCCCGCGTGCGGAGGGGACCTGCGCGGAGCCGGGCTGGCCTCGGCGCCTGTGCGCCTGGACAGCCCCTTCAGGCACGGCCACGGGCAGCCCCGCGCCTTCCTCGTCAGGCCCACCCGCGGCACCTTCCTGGAGTAACCGCCAGGGGGCGCTGAGGGAGCGGAAAGGGCGGGAACGGGAGGGGAAAGGGCGGGAACGGGGCGGGACCGGGAATGGGAATGGGGCGGGACAGGGGAGTGGGAATGGGGATGGGAATGGGGAGGGAACGGGGCGGACCGGGAACGGGGAATAGGGAGGGACATGAGGAATGGGAATGAGGCGGGACAGGGGATGGGAACGGGAATGGGTCGGGACAGGGGAGTGGGAATGGGGAATGGGGAATGGGAACGGGAATGGGAAATGAGGAATGGGGAGGGAACGGGGAGGGACATGGGAGTGGGAAGGGAACGGGGCGGGAACAGGAATGGGAACGGGGCGGAAACAGGGCGGGACAGGGAAGGGGAATGGGGAATGGGAACGGGGCGGGACACGGGAATAGGGGATGGGGAGGGAAAAGGACAGGGTAATGGGACGGGAACGGGGAGGGAATGGGGAATCGCAATGGGGCGGGCACTGAGAGGGAAATGAGGGGGAAAGGGGTTGGTAAAGGGGCGGGCACTGAGGGAATGGGGAATGGAACGGGAGGGGAAGAGGGAGGAGAATGGGGAATGAGGGAAAAGGGGAGGGGGAATAGGGATGGGAAAGGGGCGGGCGTGAGAAGGAATGGGGAGGGAAAGGGCAGGGAAGGGAATGGGCGGGAAAAGGGGATGGAAAACGAAGGGGGAAGGAAATGAAATGGGAAGGGAAGGGAAGGGAAGGGAAGGGAAGGGAGGAAGGGGAGCGGGTGGGCCAGGGCTCACAGCTCTGGGGAAGGCAGTCACCCTTGCAGCTGTCGGGGCAGCCCTGCCGGGCTGTGCCGGACCCCGCTGTCCCTCAGCGCCGCTCTGCCCCTCCCGCAGCGGCTACGACGGGCACAGTGACCTGCACGTGGGCATCAGCAGCTCGCAGGGTGAGCAGCGCGGGTGTGCCAGCTCGGGATATCCCGGGATAGGCTCATTGGGAATGGTCTCACCCTGCAGCACAGCTCCAGAGCAGATCCATTCCCCTCAATGGATTGAACAGGCACTGAATGGAATACACAGGTGCCTTCCACCCTTGGAATGAAAGGCTAGGCTTGCTTTAAAGGAATTACACTTTAATTGAGTTTAACACAGTTCTTGCTAATTCTAAAACACCCCTAATTAAAAATCATTTTTAAAAGCCACATTACAAATCCTATTGGGCTCTACCTAGAGTAGGCCCACCCTGTACAACATCATTCCAGATGTACATTTCATACAAAGCCTGTCTCCTTTGGGGCGTTAAAAATGAAGCCTGATTGTTGCTCTGATTATTAAAAGACCCAACCCTTTTTTCAAACCACGCTGTGAGAACGAGCCCAGGTGTTTGCTGGGAGCCAGGGCTGCATTTCCTGCTCTGCTGCTGGGAAGCTGGGTGAGAAGAAAGCTGTGTGTGTGTGTTTGCAGGCGTGGTGTACAGCTACGACCAGGAGGGCGTGCACAGGGATGCCAGGGGCTGGGAGCAGTGCATCAGCGTCCCCCTGCTGCAGCCTGACGTGGGGGAGCTGCTGCAGCCCTGGGACAGCCTCCTGCAGGAGTTCTCCCTGGAAGAGGCCTGGCTCCCCCACAGGTGTGTGCTGGCAGCTGGGCTGGGTTTGGGGTGGGCTCTGGGCTCACTCAGGACTCCATTCCTGGCAGCCCAGCCTGGCCTGCCTGCACAGAATGGGCTGAACTTTAGGTAAAACTCAGCTGCTTATTGGAATATGGATCCCAATATTACCAAGTAGATTGTGCCTGGGCCAGTCTGACCCTCGCTGCTGGGCCAAAGGCAGCACTGTGGTGAATCACCCCAGAGATACCTTTAGCTTGCTGGAGATTGCAGCTGGGCACTGAACAAGTCCAGGCTTGTTAAGAACTCGTTTACCTCAGGAGGAAAGCTTCAGGCGAATGGTGAGGAGGAAAAGGAGATGGATTCTGCTGGAGGGTTTAAATCCAGAGGTTTATTCCATGGTTACCGAGGTCTGAATGTGAGCAACTGCTCCAACAGAATCTCGAGCACATGGCTTGATTCACCTTTTAAGCTCAGGGACAGGGGGAGGGGAGGTACAAGTGAGCACCAACCAGGTGAGAGGGGCAGGGTCTCAGGGGACAATGACACCTAGACAGGCCAATGACCCCCAGGCCTGAGGGGCATCCTTTGAACTTGACCAACCACAGACGCCTTGCTGGAATGTTCAGCCTGATTGACAGGACTCACTCAGCAAGGGGGCGAGGGGGAAGAGGTACAGGCACGCCTGGGAGGTGACCTGGAAGTCTAAAATGGGACATTACAGCACACTGCAACAGCTGCTGGAACATAAAAGCTCTAAAGCAAGAGGTTTAGGGAATTTTGCACTAAAGCCCCAGTTCAGTGAAACATCACTTGCATGCTGCTGAGTACCAAAGTCCAGGCACAACTCCGTAATTATTTTTCTGGCAGTTTTAGGTATATTTGCATTTAAAATCTGAGCACAGTGATGCATTCTTGCCCAGTTGTTGTTTTTGATGTTGTGGTGAGAGATGGAGAGCAGGCTGATTTCTGCTCTGTTGGTGACAGAGCAGGAAAGCAGCACTCCTGGGATTGTCCCTCAGAGCCTGCCTGGGTGCCACTGAATGAATGCAACCATAAAAGAAAAAAAAAATCAAATCAAAAGCATTTTTAAGCAATTCTCTATGTGCTGACTGTAAAATTTCAGGGATCAAACATTACCCCCCTAAAGAAGATAAAATTTCTATTTGAAATCAAATTTTCTAATATTTACAGAGGTGGTAAAACCAACAGAACTTGTGTCACTTTTACAGTCCCCAGTAACATTAAAAGTGCCCTGACACCCAAAGATCCCTGGCAGAAGGGCAGACATGTGCGCATGCCTTCTCATGGCTTTCCCTGCTTTTCCTTTTCCCACAGCCACACCAGTGACCACTGAACTGAAAACAATTTTAATTGAATCCTCTGCTTATTTTTTCAGTGGACAGGAACTGTAACTCCTGTAACTCCTTTTTGGGTTCAGGCCAAGCCCAATCTGGTTTTCTGGAGAGCTTTTCCCTTACTGCAGGGTGGCAGAGAAATCACTGGTAGGGTTTGAAATGAGCTCCCACTCCCCCGTGGTGGCACACACAGAGTTAACTCTGGGGCTGCAGGAAAGGGCTGCAGCAATCGCTGGAAGAGCAAAGGTTAACAAGGTAAAAGCCAAAAAAAAGTATAAAAAAATAGGAACTGGTTGTTGTCAAGCCTTGCAGCTCTCATTTTTACAGAGTTCAGGCCGGGAGGTGCCACTTGTGAGGAATATATGGAAGCACTGGGAGGGAGGGGGAGTAACTGGAGAGTATTCCTGGAGTAAATGCTCCTTAGGATGGTGGTGGGTGGCACTGCCCTGCTCAGGGGGGTGTGACAGTGACACTGCCCCCACTCAGGGGTGTGACAATGGCAGTGCCCTGCTGAGGGGTGTGTGACAGTGACACTGCCCTGCTCAGGGGTGTGTGACAGTGACACTGCCCCGCTCAGGGGTGTGACAGTGACACTGCCCTGCTCAGGGGGTCTGTCAGTGACACTGCCCCGCTCAGGGGTGTGACAGTGACACTGCCCCGCTGAGTGAGGCGTTTCCCCAGGTACGAGGAGCAGCAGCACAACTGTTTCACCTTCGCCCTGGCGTTCATCAACCGCGTGCGGCAGGGCCGGGGCGGGGCCGCGCTGAGCAGGGCGGAGTTCACGGAGCGCTTCGTGCTGCCCCGCGCCCGGGAGGCCGCTCGCTACCTGCGGCTGCAGCGGCTGCTGGAGCACAGCGACATCCACATCGTGCCCTTGGCTGAGCAGGAGCAGCAGGGCCTGCCCGGGAACCACGGCCCGCTGCAGGAGTGATGGGAAAGGAGGGGCAGCTCAGGGGTTAAGGTTTAGTGTGGGTAAAAACACCTTTAACTAAACCCTGCACCTCAGGGTGCTGAGCTTGTGCATTTCAGGGAAGTCACACACACACAATGTACACACTACAGGGAATTTCCATGGAACTGTTCCTGTGGAAAAATGTTTTGTGATTTAGCATTCACTGTGTGCTCTGTTCTGCAAAAACACTTCACAGCAGAAATCAGAACTGCTGTGGAGTTCAGGGATTTACAGATGAACTGTGGGAACTTCAGCTGTAGCAGACCAAAATGGCCTTTTCTGCCATATAGTTTACTGCTGAGTGAAAAAAGGGAACATGTGTTTGTGTGCTGCTAAATCCCATCCCTGTCTGACTGTTAATTTCCTTTCCTGTCTGTTAATTACTAATAAATGTACCAACAAATAAATCCAGCCTCTTTGCCTGTCAGATTTCTTTTTCCATTCTGAACTGGGTAAAGTAGAGAAGCCAAGGTGTAAAGTAAGGGTAAAGTAAAGAAGCCAAGATGTAAAATAAAGGTAAAGGAAAGAAGCCAAGGTGTAAAATAAAGGTAAAGGAAAGAAGCCAAGGTGGAGTTCAGATACCTGAGTGTGAAGCTGCAAATCCCAAGGGAAGAAACACTTCTCACTCAGATGGGGAAAGGTGCCCAGGCCCCAGAATAAATTTAAATTCTGGGAAGAGTTCCTCAATTCTGAGCTGTGATTGTAGAAGTAAGTTCCAGGGTCCCAAATCCCAATCTGAATTCCCCAAGACTGAAGTCAGGTTTGTGCTGCCATAATATCAGAAATACTGTTCCTAATGACTGCAGTGTAACCACCACTCAAACATGCACCTTTTTA